CCAACATTTTTTATCACATTGAGAATCTAAAGAATATGCTATATTGCAATATATCTAACTTTTATGGACTTTTATCTCAAGTGACCCAGTTATCCTCACTGATTTAGGTTTTCTGCTCAAACCATCATTATCTCACACAAAGAACACTCTTACTGACAATTTCAGTGTATGTCGCCAGTTAATTTTGTTAACTATTAGACGCAGACAACATATTGATTAAAGTAACTTATACTTGCAGTTAAATCAGACATACTATGATGTCTATCCCTCCCCTGTTCCAGATACTTTTAAGTGAACTGTGTTATCCATCCTACAGTGTACTGCAGGTCTCTCAGAAGTACACCTCTCTGCCAGTGGCACCATTCTTACCTTTGTAATTCTCCCAGATGTGAATGGGAGAGACTGTTTTCATGACAACAAACTAAGTACATGGAGCAACAACATAGACTAGTTCAAGGATACAGCACTTGCATGGTTAATGCCAACGAAAACTGCTATACATCGCATTACGCTGGCCCACTCTCTCTTGAATTTGTGTGGTTCCCCCAGGTGGCTGTCAATGCAGGGATACAGCAGGCCAACGACAGCTGCAAAAGAAGTAACACTACTTGTACTAACTCTTATACAATGATTACTTCATTATTATTAAAGATTAGTTTGGCAAATAAGTGCTTGACAAAGTAGTGAGGTGCTTATCACGTTACTGTAAGTCTGATGAAGAAGAGACAATCATTTCCCCCTTACTTTAGGAAAGAAATCTACCCCGAGAAGCAATATTCTGTTAGAACTTTTAAAGCAGAGATATATACTGCAATGTCAGGCATCTGACTTCAAGGTCCTTTTCTCTCATAAGCATGTATCATTTGACATCCTGAGGAGATGCTTGTACCAATAAATAACAAGATGTAACAAAAGCTTAATTACAGCTAGGAATGGAATATGTGTTTATTGCTCACTTGCAGGGCAGACAGTTTTATGAACTTGACTCATTAGCTGTGAATCAGGCTCAGAATTAAATATTTGCCTGGACGCAGAAGTCTCTTGGCAGCGCTGCTTTCTCTCCTTCTGCTGGGCTGTAAGTCAGCCTGTGCTCCCAGCCAACTCAGAGGCTAATTTAGATACCAAACAAGCAGAGCTGAACATGGAGAAACACCTGCCATCAGTCTTCCTTATGTCAGGGAAAAATAACTACTCGTACTATTAACCACACAATGATTTTATCCTCATATAGCATTTCCTTAGCCTTATCAGTCTGCAGATTGGTTGCAGAAGAAAAACGCAGGCTAGTGTTAGCTCAGTTGCTAGCACAAACACTAGATGAGTTTCACTTTTTTAAGCCTTGTGACTCCAGGTGTTGTCACCAACTCCAACACTAGACATGCTGCTTTAACTATCTGTAACATCTGTGTGTGTCTGTGTGTCCTTTCCTACCCTCTTTCTCCCATCCCCCTTAAACACCTAAGGAGAACTTTTATACTCAGAAGGCTACATGAAGAACTGTTCCAAGACAGATATGTGATTTGGTTCTGGAACAGTTTAATCTTTCTGATTAAAGAACTTTCACCGTAAGGTGACAGCTAAATGCCAAAGTTCAATCCAACTGTGACAGCACTACAAGAACTTTGGAGCATAAACCACGGCAACCTATCTACTATGCAGTTTATCATTCGAGGTTATGGTTTACCATCCACGCTTCCTTGTAACGAGGTTCAATTAACACATGCCATATCACCGTATTGACACGGGCGCTGGTGGTGAGGGGGCAACGCCGCCGCACGTGACTTCCTTGTTTTCGACCCAGCCCGTGGCCAGTTCCCGCCGCCAGCCAATGGCGAGCGCCTCCCGCCACTCACCAGTTCGCCATCAGCCAATGGCCGGCGAGGGGCGGAGACACGCGGCCCCGCCGCGCCCACCCGTGCCCGCCGTGAGGCTGAAGGGATGGGGAGGAAGAGCGGGTAAAGCCCGCTGTGCCTGCGGGAACAAGGTGTTAGGTGCGTGGGGAGCGGCTCACGCTGCAGGAAAAACGTCACCTCACACACATACAGAGTGCTCCGGCTCGGAAAGAGCCTTCAGACACGCGGGAAACGCCAGCTGTTATCCACGCAGGTGGATAAAGCTGGCGTGGGCACGCGTCCTTCCCAAAGGCACAGTCTGCATCACTCGCTGTGCGATGGAAGGGCTCACGAAGGTCACACATTGAGCCCCATCACCTCTCCTCACCACGGGAGGATGGGGCGGGAGGAAACCAAGCTAAATCACGCGTGGAGGTCAGGGACTCACCTGCTGCTGTTCCACAGCACGGCGGCACCCACCAGGCGGAAGAGAAGAGAGTGGAAATCACTTCGTCGGGGAAGAGAGTCACATTTCGCTGTATCTGCAGCAAGTTCAGCACCAGGGCCATGAAAGCACCGACAACGAAGAGGACCACGCTCCTCTGCACCAGGTGCTGACTCCAGTTCAAAGTGCTGCTGGTGGTGCTGGTGGCGGTGCTGGGGCTGCGCGCTCCGGTACCCACCAGCGTCAGCGAGGGGCTTGAGCCGGAGGAGCTCAGCATCCCGCCCGCCTTGGCGGCCAGTCCCGCTGCCGTGTCCCCCGGCTGGGCTCTGTGCCTTCCCCGGGCCGCGCAGGGACAGCTCCAGCCGCCGTTCTCCAACCTGGGCATCGGCTTCACCGCAGTCCTGAAACACACGCGCAGGGACAGGCTGTCAAAACACCCAACGCGGGACGGCCCGACCCCTCACACACACCACCCTCTCCGCCAGGGCTCCAAAGGCACCGGGCAAACGGTTTGGAGCCGGCGGCCCGGGGGAGGCAGGAGGCTGGCACGAACGAGGTGATTCGGGGGCCACGGGCCGCGCTGCCTCGGCCTGTCAGCCGCGGAGCCCCAGCAAGGACCCGCCGCTCCCGTCAGACCAGCGCTGTACCCTCTCCCTCGGAGAGGGGGTTCGCATCCCGGCGTATACCCGGCACGGGGGACGCGGACCTCCCCGCCCTCTCACCTCAGGGGGCTGCGCCCGCCGCCGCCTCAGCCCGTGTGAGGACGGCGAAAAGCCGCCACTCTCCTGCCTCCTTCCCGGCTCGCCAACCCGCGGCCCGTGTAAGGTTTATAAGCCTCCAGCCACGCGTGTCACGTTACCCGCCGCCGACCTACCCGCGGCCGGAGGCAGCGCCGGGCCCGCCGCTCCGCTCCGCCACCCCTCCCCTCGGGCCGGGCCGCGCCGGGCGGGGCGGGGCCGGCCGCGAGTGTCGAGCGCGGGAGCCGCCGCGCCAGCCCGGGCGCCCGCGGCCAGTCGGGTGAGACGCTGCAGCCAATCCGGGCCGGGCGGCTGATATGACGTGCGGGACACACCACCCGCCTTCCCCCCCGCCGCTCCCGCCCGCACCGCGGCTGACGGCGGCAGGACCGCGCGGCGCCGCCGGGCCGGGTCGTGTGTGTGTATTCCCCCCCCATCTCCGTCCTCCCCGCCCCGGACCGCGGCCAATGGCGGGCGGGGCGGGAGTGCGCGGGGCGCCCTCAGGGCTCCCCGGTTGTAACCGCTCCGTGAGGGGGAACCCTGAGGAGAGCCCGGGGCGAGCAGCACCCGGGGGTGGTGGTGGTGGTGGTGACAGGGATGGTGATGGTGGCCTCTATAGCCCGGCATGGTGGCTTGTCCCCTAGGGAGATGGCAGTTAGTCATGAGGAAGGGTGAAAGCGTCTGCTGTGGCGTCTCTGCAAGATGAAGGGGTTGGTGATCCTGACTGTTGTAATTCTAAAATGGTGGTGTAAAGAGATCCTGTCAAACCCGTGGCTGTGCTAAGAAGATGGTGCTGCATCAGACACTGCATCAGCACCAGCCATGGGGTGCCCGGCAGGTCCCAGCGTCCTGTTGCCTGTGCTGCCAACCTGAGCAGCTCCTCTGCCAGCACCTGCAGAGCCTGGGTCATCATGCTCCTGGCCTAGTGTAGCCATGAAAATACAGTTAAATGCAAGCTCACCCTCCTGATTCTGCAGAGGTGGTTAACCCTATGTGCCATACATCATGTTAGAGTTTAGCACTGAAAATTATCCACACAGCAGGACTCAGCTGCTAGGCATCTCTTTTAAGATGGTGTTTTTCCAAGGCACTACGGGGGCTAGTGTGTTGATGCAGTAGCAATGACTGGATTTCTTGTTTATCTGGCCTCACTGGAGCCAGCAGATGTTCTCTTTCATGTGAGGTATGCCCCCATTACATTTGGAAAGAATACAGGACCCAGGGGCTCCCAAAGAGATTTAAGAATGGTTGCTAGCCGCACCTGTGATGGGCAGAATGACGGCCAAAGCTCTTGGACCATCAGTGTTCAGTACTGGTCCAATGCTGGTTCCAGTTGTCTTTCATCAATGTGATACATGTGACAAATAAAAAATACAGAATCAATTCAAGATACAGAAAGAGGCAGTTCCTCTGTATATCATGAAGTGTAGAATTCATTTGGGATATGACTATCCCTTCTGATTGCTGCTCAGTTCTAGCTGGGATTCAAAGAGTCAGGACAGCTGAACCATGTGGCTTTGGACAATGTACTCAATGTGTTGGGGATGGACAAATTGTTAGTGCCACTGTCGGAAGTGACAGAAAAGCCTTAATACCCTGCCTAGCTTGGGATCTGCCCAGCCCTTTCCCTCTTGCAGACTTTACTGCTGGACTGCTGTATATGTGTCTGCTGTACGTGGAATTGTATATTATCAGTTTCTATTGCTGTTTTATCTCAGGAGTGTACTGAAACAGCTTTTGGTTTTGGTCTTGTACACTAAAATTGTTTGGGTTCTTCTCTCAGATTTTAAAGACACAATTAATCTTCCTTTCTTCATTTTTTCCCCTGATCCAGTGGACCTGTAGTACAAGTTTGAGATAACCGTTTTCAGAGAAAAGAGTCTTAATATATTGTCAGCATTTTATGGGTTTCTCTGCAGGAACATTTGATTTGTTCCAGGAAATCACATGCAGACATAACACTTCCTTTCATGGCAACTATGTGCAAGTTTTGAATTGGCCCAGGCAGTTTATTTATCTCCCTAGACCACTAAGCAGTACCTTCTGCTGTTCCAAATAAGGGCTGGAACTCATTCCGTGTGAAATTTTCCTTCTTGTTGAATCACTGAGATTTATCAACAGGACTGTGGATCTGAGATAAAACAACTCATCTTTGTAAGCACTCTCTTTGTGGAGTTGACCTGTGGGAAACAAAGATCATTCATCCTGACTTCTGCTACATCTCTACTCTATTTTGGAAAAAAACCCCAACAAAAAACATCTGTATTAATATCTTTTTTTCCCCCTGAGTCTTACCTGTATTCTCAGTATCTGTGCAGAGTTCACATTCCTTTGTGCTGCGTCTGCTAGTTCTTCTTCCTGAAAGAGCCTCTTAGGCATTTTGTTTATCCTGTGTTTTGCTTTCCTCATGGGTATGTGTCTTCTGCTCCTTCCTGCAGCATATTTTATTACTTTCTTTTCTTCATATTCATGATATCGTGTGGTGGTGCCCTTCTTTCTTCCAGGCAGAGACCAACCTCTGAAATGGTAAAACTTGCTGCGTCTTTGTAGAATCAATACAAATCTACGCTAGTAGAGAGAAACTGGCCCCAGGTGTGCTTTTCTTGAAGTTACCTGCTTAGAATAAAGGTTAAGTGCCCCTTACATTTGTGTTGCTTTATAGTCATATTGCTTCACGTTTCCTTTTAGAATCCTAAAAAGGGTTAGGCCCCCGTGCGCTTTGATTAATGATTGAAATTTTACACTTAACAGTTATTTCTGGGAAGAAGTGCTCACGTGTCTTTGGAAGATTAGTTATGTCATTATTTCTATCTTGTTCCTTAGCAAAGACAGCAGGATCTGGAAGTACTTGGCATCACTACTCATTACATAAATAAATAATTTCACCCGTTCTTTCATGCTTTCTGTATTAAACTCTGTGATGTTCCGAAATCTGACAACATGCTTGTCTCACCAAGAGTCTTTAATGGGCCTCTTACGTAGCAAGCTGAGGATATTTGGACATTTTATGTTTCTCCTTACTTAAAGTAGATAAAAAGTGAGCTGGCTGCTGATGCAGTCACAGAAGGCAGTGGTACAGAATCACAGAGCAAGATCCATCTTATGCGTAAAGCTGCTCTCCCTTTGTTTTATTGGAGACTTTGGAGTTTATTCACTTTCAGGACTTTCTCCTATTGAAACGGAGAATGGAAACCTTCCCACTCATAAGATAAGCCTTAATCTCCTGTGTCTCCATAAGAAGATTTAGTGACATGCATTGTTTGATTCTTGATGCCAACTGCATGTGCAAGAGTTCAAAAGAGCTTGTGACACAAGCAGCAATTTATCAGAGGTCTTTGCTTTATCAGAGGTCTCCAGTGTAGCTGTGCCAATTCTCAGGAATCTGCAGTGCTGCCTGCAGATCTCATGGTGCCTTCTTGGAGTTCTGAAGGGTAGCTTTGGGAAATTGCCCAAGTGCCAGTGCAGGAGCTCATTAAAAGCTAAAAAGGAGAAGGACAAGGAGTGATTACATGGTACAATACTTGGTGTGCAGCACATACAGATTCTGAACAAGACAAACTCCAGCCAGAACACTCCAGGCATGTAAAACAAAGGGGTAAAACAGAATGTGTCAGTTGTTAGTACATAATAATGTGAGTCATCCACAGTGAGCAGAACTTGAAAACACGGCTGCTTTTACATAATCTGAGGGTGAGAAGCTATACTTGGAGTCTGAGCATGGCAATTACACCCTAAGCTGTCCTAGAAAAGCTCTGTCTTTGTGTGGTTAATAATATTGTAGTGGCCATATGACAAATGTAATTGAAGTTTTTTTGTTTAGCTGCCGATATTTCTCTAGCTGCTTTTTTTACCAGAACGAAACAGAAAGAACAATTATATGTAGATGCAGTCTTCAAGTGTCTATAAATTCATGTAACAAGTATCGTATAATTAGCTAATCAACATCCCACATGCAGCTGTGGGCACTGACTCACTGTCAGTGAACCTCTGTCCTGACACAAAGGCAGCGTCTCTGCCTCGGTTTTGGCTTCATTCATTGCCATTGTTCTGCATATTTATGGAGCAGTAAGTTCAATGAGCTCATACATAATATTCAAGACGGTGATGTAATCTAAACTTCACTATGAAAAAAACTATTTGATGGTTATACTGTTGTTGAAAACAGTTACTGCTTTGATGATGATAGCGGGGCTGTCAGGCTGGCATGAACAGTGTTACTGAGGCAAGCTCTTCTGTTCAGGTGTGGTTAAAAATTGTTGGGAGTTCTGGTCTCGCCAGATCTACATTTATACATTTATTTATACTACCTCTGGATCTTTAAGGATACTAGTTAGAAGTGGTGTTTCCATCCTTTTTTGTTTTTATGTTTACGTTATCTGTGATGTAAAAGTGGGGCACTGTAAGGAGCAAGTTTTCTTGTAAGTAAAATTGCTGCTATAATGCCATTGTAATTGAGTATTTAGTCAACTCTCATCTGACAGGATGGCCAGTTTCTTACAATATAGTCCAAGTGATGATAGTCTAAAGAATAGGTGGAATAAGCAGGCATCATCATACCAGTAAATAGAGATATGATGATTAAAAAAACCCCAAACCAGAAGGAATGTTGTCTTTTGTATGCATTTATTTCTTGATGGAAGCATTACTTGCAGAAGAAAGCTAAGTAAATCTCTATTACCAGTTCTCCTACAACATTGGGTGTCGCAAAAGGGCTCCTCCATGGTGTGTATGCAAACATGGCCATGGTGGATTGTAAACTCAAATGTTTTTCACTTATTTGGTGACTTGGGACTCTGTCATTCCCATCTAAGATAAAAGGGAAATTTCCTCAAGGACTGCAGCATACTTTGCCCTTGCAGCCCTCTGCTCATGGCACACAGTTCCAGCACTCTTTCTCTTCTCACAGTGGCAGCCTTACCACATATTCTTGACAGCTGCGGGAGGAAGATGCTTCTGGAATCCATCTGCTAGCTCATGGGGTTAACCGTGAAGCTGCTACAAAGGAGTTACTGCCCCAGAACATGCGTTAAAGCTTGAGAACTCATCATGGTGCAGTGAGAGAGACATGGAGTGTCATTCTCCTGTAGCCATTCAGCTTGGTATGAGTAGCTGCAGAGGAGAAGAAGCAGTTAGTTGTACAGCATCCTAATTTTTCAGACTCTTCTGACTGTATCAGGAGAAGAACTGCTTCCATCTAGGGAGGCTGGATGCAGTCTTCAAGTCTGATAGATAGCCCAGGTCTTAATTGGATGAGCAGTTCTCTGCTCTGCCCTTTCTTTCCCTGTCCTGACCTTGGTAATAACTATAAATAGCAGAGCTGTGGCTACTGAGAATAGACTCAGGATCACACACTCTGGTTTTATCTGTATGTCTTCATGTCCCTTGAACTCTGGAGAGCAGTGGCCAAGAGCTTAGAGCTATTGGTGTCACATGGGAAACACTTTCCTCCAGAGCTTTTCACATAGCATGATTCTGCACAAAGCACATTGTTTTTTTTTTTAAGGAAAGAGTCCTTTAAGACATCTACAGCTCTTCTTCCAGAACAACGTTGTGATGGCATGAAAGAGCTCAAAGGAGGTGCTGTAAACATTGCCAGTTTTCAGGCAAAATCTAAAGATTCCCACTTCAGTGATTACATCAGTACCCTTAAATGCAGTTCACTATACTGAGGTGGTAAGAATTGCTGCAAGGTGTGTTTTCAGATTGCCTACCTGAACTTTTAAGTTAAAAGAGTGCAGCATATGGAAAGCCTAAAGCTGTGCCCAGAGCTATACTTTAGAAACTGCTGAAGAGAAGTTATGCTGAAAAATGTATTTAAAGTCAAACCCTTCAGCTTTTACTCATAGAAAGGGCACACTTTACTTGTAAGAATGAGATCAGGCCACTTGCATGCAAACTCCAAGGACATAATTACGTGCTAAGTTGTACTAGTTATATGCTGATGTGAGTCTCGCTATCACTGTAATGCAGGATTGGACCTTATTTAACGGCTTCAAATATGCCACAGTAAATTTTACTGGTTTTACAGATCCTGCTAACAGATTAGTCTTAAATCAAATAAGACTAAGAAATCAAGTAAGTCCCTTGGTTGGGACTCTGTAAATTTCATCTTGTTGATGATCTGAGTTGCACACTGCCAGCTTCACTTGCTTATTCAGGCTTATTTTGGGACATTTTGCTTATGCAAATTGCTGAAGGAATTCAAAACACATAGGAGAGCAAATTGCAAGGCTTAGGAGCATGCACTGCTCCCACTCACTTTGCTCAGATTAATGCATGAAATGAAAGTGCCAAAGTTAGTAACTGTTGCTTTGGATTGCCCTTGGAGAGTTCAGGGGGAAATAGTACCTCCAGAAGGCTCCATATTGGATAGACTGGCCTTGAGAGATGCTCATTTCTCTCCTCTGACTGAAGCAAAAGCTTCTGCTTTCTTCAATCAGAAATAAGATTCAAGCTTTGTGGTCATATATGTTAGATATATGATAGAAACATACATGTTTCTATCCTGTTACCACACAGAATGGTTTATAGGTCCAGAACTCACTCTCGCTTTCACTGTTTGGTCAGGTTTGTTTGTGTGTTGCCTCACAAGGTCAGGTGTTTGTGACATTTGTAAAGGCGAGATTGATGCCTTCACGTCTGTTTCAGAGGCTCAGAAACCGTGGTTGCAAAAAGACCATTATGGCAAGTGTGTATTAACCTCTTGGGTTCCACACCCAGCGAGTGAGAAGCAAACACACAGAATAAAGAATGATAACCCTGTCAGAGAAGGCAGAACAAATACAAAATGCCTCAAGATAGAATAGCTTTGGGTCCCATCTGAGAAACTAAAAAGTCTCTGCCTCCCATCTGAGAAGCTGTTGGTCTCCTCATCAGTCAGCCTTGGCATCTATTCAACTGAATATGTATTTAATTTTCCCCCATTCACTGGAGGAATCTCAGCTGGAAAAATCAGGCAGGCATCTATCCCTTACATCTGAATCATCAGCACAGATATTTGTAGATACCAAAGAGAACTTGTCCCTATTTTTTAACATGTAAGTATCTGCTGGTTTTGCTGCTTTGTGGTTAGCTGCTTGCCTGTGTTTGCATGTGGAAATCTTTGTTCTTGCACTGTGTTGTTTCTCTGGAATGCTATGAGCAGTTGTTTTTTGTTTGTTCATAGTCGGGTGGAGCTAGCTGTCTAATTGGGTAAACATGAGCAATGTTATACTTGCATGCACATAAGACAAAGATGGACATAGTGGCCCAGCAAGGTAAAGGCTTAAATAAAACTGATAAATATACCACCACTTCTGCTCAGACTGTATAAAGTGGGTTTAGTATGAATAACTGTCATGTCTGTATTTGTTTCTAATTACAGATGAACTATATTTTCCAGCTGGGAGGTCCTGTGATTACAAGTGTGAAGGGGGAAGTTGCCCTGTTCACTGACTTCATGTTCAAAAGTGCTTGACTTCCACTGGGACTTAGCACTGTTGAAAAACAAGGCATTTATTTACCAGCCTGTCTTTGGATGTCAAGGGTGAGTTTTCCACAGATGTAGAAAATTCCTAAGTGAACAATAATAGATCTAAGTGCCTGAAGCTGTTTTGAAGATCACAACCTTGCCGTGTTCATGGAAGGTGTGTTTGTACATCTAATATATACCTTGTATAAACCTTACCAGACGACTGTTGCGTGTGTTATCAGCTAAGCTACGAAGTACGCTATAAAGATCTACACATACATGAACAGACTGTAATGAAGACTTATCACTGAGGAGGCTATTAATAGGTAATTCAGCCTTTCTTTGTACAAAGGTTAATGAAAATGGTTGTGACATAAGGAAAAGTGAAAACTAAACTCCACAGTTTAGATGTTACGTAGACCTGACTCTAGTTCAGCTTCTGTGTAGCTGCAGCCTGGAGCTTATAGTGAACTGAGTAGTCTTGAAAGAATTGCATAATTTCATAGTGCCATTGCTTCACGCATGTCTCAGTAGAACAAGTGTCTGTCTGTAGGTCAAGAAAAAAAAACCCTTACTATAAGAGAGTTTTATTTTATTAACAACTATTTGTCTTGTTTGAAATTTTCAGTGTATTTCTTCAAAGTTCCGCTGTTTATTCTTGTCTTCAAAAAATAAGAATAATTTAGAGTTTTACTTCTGTAGGAACAGAACTCTGATGCTCTTACACTGTCTAGTATCTTACTTTAGCATTAGTTCCACTGGGTTCACTGATACTAGTTGTACTACAAAGTATCCCTCAGACTGAGTAAAACTTCACAATCTGTTTTAAGCCTTTTATAACCACAGTGCTGTCATCCACTCCTCCACTGCTCTTCACCTTTTACTTCAGGTCCCAGATTTTTGTTTGCCTTTACAGTGTGTGTGTTGAAGCTCGGATTGTCTCTGAGTGAGCATTCATTACCCGGATAGTCAGCCCTATCTCTGCTCCTGCATAGTAATCCCTGTTGCCAGTCCCTACTGTGTACTTGTGGCTCTCCCTGTGTAATGATTTTGTGAAGTAGAATGGGGGCGTGAGCCAGGTAACACAGATCACTTTGCTGTTTTCAGCTGTATCCCCTCTCTGATGTAACCCACTTCTCATCCATCTCTACAAATGGCATGGTGAGTTGAGAATGAGCAGCTACAGAGGAGCAGAGCTACTGAGCTCAATTGTACTGCTGCCTGTTTTGCCTTCCCTGCTTGGAAAGTCTGTCTCACTTCAGTTCACCACCAGGCTATTTAATAAGGGTTGTACTGAAGTCTCCTATGAGCTCACACCTATCAGCTGATGGCACACTGACTTTAACTTTTCTTGTTGGAGTCTTTGTAAGCTCCTTTGTAGATTCTTGTAAGCTCATGTCAAGTATTTCCCCGTGTAACTGGAATTTATGAAAAAGCATGTATGTCCTGTGTTTTTATTTGCTACCTTCATTCTGAAAACATCTTGAACTTTATTTCAGAGTGATCTTTATCCAGTTGTAAAATCTGGTTAAAATTTTCAATGGCTTTAAAGGTATAGGGAGTAGAAAAGTGAATACTAAAAAGGCAGCAAGGCTGAATAAATCTTTTTTTCATTAAGAAAGCAGGCTAAAAATGGTACCACTTACCTTTTCCAGCTTGATATTTGTTTACATACTAAATAGGTACTGACAGTCTTCCTTGTGATTTTGAGGTTAGTATTACTAATCCTATTTCTCTGCAGTTTTTTTCCTGCTTCTTGTATGTAAACAACCAGTGGTAATAGTATAGTGGCACCTAATCCTCATTTTCTGGCAGCCATCCATGAAAATTAATTCCTTCTTGAAGTCGTGCCTTTTCTCTGGGTGATGTGTTTAGTGACACTGGTGATATGGGTATGAGTAGCCTAG